ACTGAGGTATACTACGTCTCGCTATGCAGCTCTACTTCGATTCCTATCTGTTTCGTTCTAGCGGGGCCAAGAAAGTTCATAGAGAGCTCTTTTCGTATGCCACCACACCCACACACTCTCACAGTAGCAGTGTATCCTTTAGAGGATCTAATAACTTTTTAGGAAGCGTTCCATGAAAAACACAAACTACCGACCGGTACTTTCTTCCAGCCCTATATGGCCAAGCGTCGATGAATGCTGTACCTGCCCCTTCTACTACACCTGTCCGCACTACTCGCAGCGCAGACGCCCACCCCACAGCCGTGCGCTTCTTCAAGCCCGGGCGGAACTCGCGCTGCCGGGGTGCGGGCGGGCGAGCATGTAGTCTTATTATAAATTATTTCAGGGCTGCCGAATATTTTATGACAGTGCCTCAAGTCTGCCCCCCTTCCGCCCACGCTCCCCGCACCACACGAGATAAGGAGGGTGGGGTAAGCCCGTGCAGAGGGAGGAGGGGAGAGTGAGAGAGAGTGGGGGGGGGAGGGGGCGGAAAGAGAGCGAAATAGTACGGTGCCGAAGGGGAGTACTCGCCATGACCAAGGTTGTGAGCAAGGAGGTAGGAGATGAGGAAAGTTAAGTTTGGTAGCGCAGGGGAGTGTTGGGGTGTGTGGTGGGGGAGAGACGTGGAGCAGGGCGAGGATGGGGGGTGCGATAACAGCGGCGGAACGAGGAAGATGGGGAGGAGCGGAGAGGAAACGGCCGAAAAGAAGACCGCCGCTCTGATACGGCAAGCAGAACACCACACGCCCCGCTCCCCGGCCCGTACCTGCTGAACGAACAGCATGTAGCTCGCTCTCCGGCATGAGAATCTGCTCGTTTAAATGAGGCTCCTCTCCGGCGCGCGCGCGCATGCGCGGAGCAGTGTCGCCAACGCGCCAATACCAATATGAACCGCATGCGCGCCTGAGCCGGCCCGGCCCGGGGCTTGTTTGCGGCAAATAGCACCGCGATATAGGCTGCTGTGGCGGGGGGGGGGCAGGGGAGCGCCCTATCGGCAAACGTCATGATGAAATTTTAGGGGGCAACTTTATTGGCAGGTGAGGGGGCGGACGGGCGCGGCGGCAGCAGCAGCGCTTTGCGGTAAACAATGCCAGGCTAATTATTTACACTCTGCCGGAGCCGGTTCGATACTTACAGCGCTGTCCGACACCTCCCCGCTCGCCCTCACCCCCGGAGGCAGGGCAGGGGCTGGTCGGGGGCGGCCAGCGATTCGTCTTTGTTAGGGGCGATGCCCGATGGCGAGACGAGCCGGGGGCAGCCAACTTTAACATCACAAGGCGCCGCGATGCGCCTTTTATTCCCCCCTCATCCCTCAACTCGGCACAAGCAAAGAGCGGTATGGGTAAACTTTCCGCGTCTTTTCGGACTGGTGGCCGGCCTGGACTACTACTGGACTTCCCCTCTGCAGAAAAGGATGACGAACCATTCTGGTTTCCTATCGGAAAAATAAAACCCTGAAAAATGTGTACCGCAAAATGTTAGCATACACACCAGCAAGACAAGTTTCGCAGCAATCAGGCACCAGATGCTTGGGCGAAAACTAATCTCTTTCAAATTCTCACCCCCCCCCCCCACACACTGGCACAAGTTTTCGTTCTCACGCGACTATGACTCGGAAATTATGAGCTCTCCTCCGCCGTCCGAGGCGACGTAGGCCGTAGGGAGCCTGCTGCTAATGCCGCCCCCCGCACTCCGTACCGTACGGCAGTGTGTGACACTGTGACACGCCCCGCGCGCCGCCGGGTCGCGCTCGCTAGTCTGTCGTTGTTTTCGCTTCCGTAATCACTTCCATACTTAACGTAAGAGTTTAGGGCGATTTGCATAAACGCTCCGAGTGGCGTGGCGTGGCGTGGCAAGGGGTGGGGCGGGGCGGTGGTGTTCCGTCTGAAGCAGATGCTCCCATGCTCCAGCGAACGCCCTTTATCGGACGTCATGGCGGAAACAAAAGACCGGATTGCTTAGTCATATAAGGAAATAAGATATCCTAGCTGCGTCCGTTATTGCTAACATTTTCTTGGCCATTAAGAAAATGAAATTGTACCAAGTTCTGGGAGCGCAATGTTCTCGAAAGTGACAAGTGACAAGAAGCGATTAATTGAAAATACATTTTGGGAGGTGGAGTCGGGTGGAGTGTACCAATAAATTTCCCGCCTAAGTTTTAAGTACTGGTAATGGTCATTATTTTTTTTATTGAGAAGCACGTTGCTTTACACACAACTCGCACACAACACCTTTCTGTAGCCCTGACCCTTATATAGCACAAGTCAAGAACTCGCGCGAGAACAGGGCGAGAACGGTGCGGAGGGTCGGGGGAAAGGAGGGGGGGGGGGGCCTGCAGGGCGTTGCACTTGATGAAAACTTTTGCACTCTCACACGTCAAGTTGTTGCGGAAAGTGGACGGACGAGCGTGGGTACACAGCATATTCATTACGGAGCCGGTATTTAAACCCACGATCAAGCTGCTCTACCTCCCTCCCCCACTCCTTTCTCCTCGCCTACTTTTTGTTAACGTCTATAAAGTCAGCGGCAACTACTCGTCTCGCACATTGTACTTTTTGCCTTCCTCGAAAGGTTTGGTACCTCTTGACCTGCGGCCTTTATTCGCCCTCCCTCCCGGCCGTGTTGATTGTATTGTGCGAATAACGGCTTTATGGGGTATTGGCGTCGCCATTACCAACTTTGGAGGGCTGCAATCTCGCCGCGCGGCGTATCGGACCGCCTCTGCCTTTGCCTTTCCCCTCTCTCCTTAATTCCTCGGCATACTTTGCCATGGTTTACTTTGGCTCCGCGCTCAGCCATAAAATAAGCCTTAAACAAGGGAAACGACATTTTCATCGTCTGCATGCGGGAGCGCCTCCGCGCGGATCCCAGCTGACAGCCCTGCGCGCGCCATCCAGCCTAAAGCGCGGCAGAGTGAATTTGAAAATAAAAGCAGATAAATGCTGGGTGAATGTAGCAGGTGAGTCTCGAGGAATAAAAACCTAACAGAGAAAAACAAAACGATTATCGGTTAATTTATGAGCTGGGCTACACGCATTGACAGTGCTCCAATTAAGCCTAAATTTACGAACCACTTGGGAGGGAGGGGCAGTGTGCGACAGCTGGCAGTGTGTTGCTTGTACTGCCCTCCATTCTCTCCCCCCCC